AACAGGCACTAAGTCGCATAGTCGCCAGGGTTTAGAGTACACCAGGTGGACACATCGTTCACAACACCTACAGGTTGCGAGCCTGCTAGTGTTCCACTGGACTGTCTAGAATAGTCCGTGGTTGTCATCCATACTCTGCTAGATGACGGGACCATCGCTTGGCTCATCGCTTAGGTCATCGCTTCTCACCATAATTTACCACTCATATATCATCGCTCATCATTCATCTCATATTTCATCGCTCATCATTTATCTCATCTCTAATCTACCCATGTTTTACCCAACATATTTTGTAGATATAAAATACATATAAAGTTTAAATCATTTAAAACATGTATAAAATCATTCATCCAACATAGATAGCAAGTATACAAATAATATGCACACAAAGCACGTAATTTATATAAAATACTTCATATCTGTGTGTAAGATGAAAGTAACTATGCACTCACTTGTTAAAGTGACGACTCGAAATTCGAGCAGCGCTTCGCTTCTTAACAATATGATTTCCTTCGACGAAACCTAGTATTATTACCACTAGATTTTAGTCTAATATTTATTGCGACTAATTATTAGTCTAGATTCGTCATTAACTCAGAGTCTACTTCATGATCTATCAAGTAATGAACAACCAGGTAGGATCATATCGGAGGTAGGGTCCGTTTGGTATACGAAGTATACTGTTTGGAAATCCCACTTTAAACACCTCACTAAATCACAGCCTAGTCATCATTCCCGTAAGTTGATCAATCAGTATAACGACTTTGAATCACTGATAAATCTTATTTATAGGTTCACAATAACGATATTATATTTATATATAAGCTATATTTAAAGTAGGGTAGGCGTATCTCACTTACAATGGGTTTTGCTAAAAACCGGGCTTCGTTGGAGCAGCGTTTCCGAGCCGAAAAACTCTTCTTCTCGGAGCCGTCGGGAGCATGGGGGCTTCCGCCTCGTGCTAGGGAGGTTCCCTAGGCTTTTCGGTGGGTTTCGAGGCTAGAGAGAGGTTCTAGAGAGAGAGGGAAGTGATACGAGGTGTGAGGAAGAATGGAGGCTTCACCTCTTATTTATAGGGGGCTGGAGGGTCACTCACGTCGTGAGTTTTATGATGCTCACGTCGTGAGCCAGCTTGGGCTCCAAGTCTGAGCCTGGTGCTGACACGTGGCATCACACACAGGGTGGAAATCAGCCAATTTTCAAAAATTCATAACTTTCGCATACGAGCTCCGTTTTCGACGTTCTTTATATCCATGCGTAGGTAAAAATAAGATCTACAACTTTCATTTTGACTCCGTCGGCTAATTATCGACCGTTCTTAAATTTAATAGTACGAGGAGATTATACTGTTAAATGTCCGCGTAAAATTCATAACTTCTACATACGGACTCCGTTTCCGTCTGTCTTTTTACCGTTGAGTTCCTATTAATGAGATCTTCAATTCTCATTTAGGTCGCGTAGGCCAAAAATCGCTCGATCTAAAATTCGAGTTTCGGGCTGTGCAATGCTAAGCCTAATCTTAGAAAAATTCATAGCTTCCTCATACAAAGTCAGATTTGGGCGTTCTTTTTATGGACGCTCTCGGTTTAACATATTCTAAGACTTTCGTTTAGATTAATAAGGCCAAAAAGTCCTCTATCGTAAATTCACTATTTACGTTTCCCGGTGCCGTGTCGGTTTTGCCGCGAAACTTCGACGGGCCATAACTTCTTCGTTATAACTCGGATTTCGGCGTTCTTTATATGTAGGGAACCCTTGTAACATATACTACAACTTGGTTAAGATTAATCCTTCTAAATAATATTCCATCAAAAACTCATTTTTGATGCTTATTGTCTCTAAATTGACTAGCCTGAATCTGCGGGCGTTACAACCATAGTCTGATACGACTACCTACGCTACCCACATCAGACTGGGGGGAATCCAGCTAGGTATAGCCCAAGAAGAAACACCTTCAGAATGGTTATCAATGCTCATGCAAAATAGACTATGAAGATCATTATCGATGACATTCCACCAAGACGATAAAAACGCCACGACATCCACATTGTATATTCATATAGCAGCCCCGCTCCGCAATAACATTATTAGCAAGCCTTGCTCTGCATGATCGTAGCAATAGTTACGTTGCATGACAACGATTGGATCATACTCCTAGCAAGGAAAGATCATTAAGCCAGCCCATGCTTGGCTCAACGCACAACACCATCACTCTCGTGGGCGAGGTTCGATCGTTCTTTTTTTACTCTTGATGCATTGGTGCTTTGTCTAGTCCAATCCGATTGTCAGCAATCCAATCACATCGGACTAGGGGGACTTGATGACACAATGTTTATATGACTGAGTCCAGTCCAATTTCATTGGTCGCATACCAATAACATCGGACTGGGGGGGGGGGTTGATAATATTAGGGCCATTAGCTTGGCCTAGACAACTCTGGTGCGCCAGCTTTGCGTGGCGCTCCCTTGCCAACCTTGACTGGCACTCTCCTGCCGGCCTGGCCTGGTGCTCCCCTGCCTATCGTTCCCTTGCAAGCCTTGCTTGACGCTCCCTTGCCAGCCCTTCCCAGCGCTCCCTTGTCAACCGTGCCTGGCGCTCCCTTGTCGGCCTTTCCTGGTGCGCGCCTGCCAGCCTCGCCCGACGCCTCCGGGCGGCGTTGCCCAACTCCTTGTTAGTTGGGCCTGAATTGGGCTGGCCCACGGCCTGACCTAATTCCCCTTGACCTAATTGACCCCTATAAAGTGAATAGTACCTCCTCCATGGAAGGGGACCCTCTCTCTCTCTCTTGGGGGGGGGGTTAACCGTCACCCTAGTACTTCCCCTTGACTCAGCCACCACACTAGACTCCGATCGGGTGGCTCAGCCGCCACCCTCCGTCATACACCACCCACTAACACCAAGATCGTTCTCTCCAACTAAGGAGAACCATCTCATCTCTACCAGTCGATATAACTTGATCGTCAGAGCCTGCTCCCTGGGCACAGTCCCTGGGGCGGTTCTAACAACCTTGCTCTGTGATGTCCAGATCTCCGCCGCAGCAGAAGACTAGAAGACTCGCCAGGGGTCGATCGCGTCATGTGTGTGTGTGTATATATATATACATATATATAATATATAGATATATATATATATATATATATATATATATATATATATATATATATATATATAGACACACACACACACACACGTCTATTTAGAAGTCTAATCCGTAAAGTCTAATTTAATATTTTTTTCGTTCTTAATTTTTTCATTCCAAAGTCGAATATGTAAAAGGAATCAAATATTCCAACTTAAATTTTAATTATCACAAAATTTAAGTCGTAGCAAACTAAGACTATGTTTGATGTACTAGTTGAATAATTAGCTTCTACCTAAAAATTAGCTGATAGGATAACCGATAAAAATTAATATTTTTATAAAACTAGTTTATAAATACTTGAAATATATAAAATGAAATTAAAAGATATTTAAAAAGATGTATTTTTTATAATTAATTATGAATATATTTGATTTTTTTTTTAAAAATTTGTAGTAGTTTTTTGGAAATGTAACTTATAAACAAGTTTGTGGTTTGCCAAACATGAAAAATTCAAAAATAAACTACATAATCAACAACAACAACAAAAAACTATGTAAATATACTATAAAAAAGTTACATAAGGAAAATGAATTTTTGTTTGTAAAAAAACCCATACGATTTGGCATTTCAAGTCAAAATCTCAATTTTTAAAATTTCAACAAGTTATATTCTCTTCTACTAAAAAATAAATCATGATTTTTTTATAAATAAAACCAAAATATAGATATTTTTATGGAAAATAATGTCATAAGAATTTTAATAATATTTTTGACAGACCATTTATATAGTTTTGTCTGTATAAAATAATTAAAAAAGCTGCGGAATTGGCATTCCCATGTCTTTGTTATGACAGTGAAAAAGAGAAGAAAAATCTTGTGTTTGGCAGGGAAAAAGAGATCTCCCAATTTGCTTTCATATCATATCAGACCCTCCCTCCCTGCACATGACCACACCATAACCTGATCCCGCCGCACTCACACCATTACTCATGCCTGTCAGAATTATTTCCAACAAGGATATTTTCGTCTTTTCCTCCTGCTCCCTTAAGGGTATAACCGTCAATCACAAATTTCGCGCTGCACCCAAATTCTTTACATCCACACCCAACAGAGTTTCATAGTTACATAACACCCCCACATAAATAGATATTTACACAGCTTGCGCATTTTCTAGTAACGATTTATAATATAAGAACATTTTGTTCCATCCCCACTCTTAAATAACACCGTGTTGAATTTCGAATACATTTTCATTTCAACATTAGGTTATTATTTAAATATTAAATTTAAGTATGCTGAGTAAATAGTTTTTGTAAAAAATATAACTAAACATGCAATTATTGAGTTTAAGGTTAAACATGGGGGCTGAAAATAAAACATGGTTCCATCGCTTACATGCAAAGCGTAACTGCCACGTGTACTTAAGGCGTGGCGACACAGTCCAACAACAGCAGAAACGGAAGCGGCGACGTGGGGCCCACCTGCCTTCCATTCTCCCGCCTCTTCAACTCACGAACCCCTGTAACAACGGCCGTACAACCATAAAAACGGGGACTGTGGGTCCCATTCCCCATCCCACTTTATCTTTTATCACGTATTTGATCAACTAATTTTACGGATTTTATTTATAAACAATTTTCCATGAATATTTATTATCATAATTTCCTTTAAAAATATTAGTTTTAAAATAATTATAGGGTTTGGTTATCTCACATGCAAGTAGGGTGAGTATTGACATAGTGGGGTCCAACTACAGCGCCCACCCGACCCGTATATCCAATGACCATTAACCTGCATACAATACCCTTGGCAAAAGCAAAAGAGGGAAAAGAACCCCCTGTTCCCCCACTTGCTTCTGTAGGCGCGTGTCACTCACTCTTCCCACCACTACTCTTCTCCATATTTATATATCCCCAACACTTCACACCGTTTCCTACTCCATTAAATATCTCTGCATCTTCTCCCTATCCAAATAGCGACCGACGGCGTGAAACTCATAATTAGACCCTTATAAGTAGCAGCGATTTCTTTGCTTTAATCAGGTGGTTGCTTATTTGTGATAGTGAAAATCTGCCATGGCGCAAGAGTTGGCTGACGGTGAGTTTTGGCTACCACCGGAGTTTCTCAACGACGAGGACATACTCATGGACTTCATTCCTGGAAAACCCAACCCTGCAACTCCCACCGGCGTTTTGAACAAGGGCTCATACAGTTTGGGGTCGTACGGGCCTAACTCGGATCTGAGCTCTCCGGTGGAGTCTGTAATGGGCTCTACTGAGACGGAGAGTGATGAAGAAGATTACCTGAACTGTTTGTCCCGAAAGTTCGCTAAAACTACTGTACAAGATGATTTCCGGAAAGCAGATGCCAATTTCAACTACGAAAACAACCACTCTAAGGTATCGTTTTCAACCCTTTTTTGGGTGTTTTTGTTATATTCTCTTCAATCGTAATTTCTAATTTGGGGATTTTTTTGTGCAAATAGGGCACTAGGGTTATGGCGGGTTCGCCGCAATCAACACTGTGCGGTTGTAAAAGGAGTTCAAGCAGGGGAAGCCCTAATTGTCCTTCACCGCCGGCCACGGCGACGGTTAACCGCAACGAGGCTTCATGGGATCTTCTGTACGCTGCTGCCGGCGAAGTAGCTCGGATGAGGATGGTTGAAGAAGCTGCTTCCCGCTACTATAACCCGAACAAAAATTACATGGCTCAACAAGCACCTCGAAGAACATCAAGCCCTAACCTCAACTATCAACAACTTCAAGTTGCTCAAGTCAGTATCCAATATCCCTTTTATTTCGTACTCCTTGTTATATTCCCATTTCTTCTAAATTCTGACGGTTTTTGTTGCTTTTTGTAGTTTCAGCAGTTGAAACAGCAACAAATGGCGAAGCAGCATCAGTATCTGCAATTGATGCAACAGAACAGAACAAGGAATGACTCTGGAAACGGCCGGCCGGTGGCTCCGCCGGCGTCTGCGTGGCCTACCCCTCAACAATCCCAGCAGCAGCCACAGCAACGACCACCTGGGTCGGGTATGCGGGCTGTGTTCCTCGGAAACCTCACCACCAAACGAGAATCCACTGGTACTGGTGTTTTCTTGCCTCGCCAAATTGGAGCTCCAACCGAGCCTCTCAAGAAACGAGGTCTAATTTCACTTCATTTGTTTTTTTTTTCTTTTAATCTTTTTTCGATTTAATTAAATGGTAGTTTTAAATTGAATTACTGGAGCTGACTTCTTTTTGGTATTTATTTGGTTCGATCTTTTCAGGATGTTCGACAGTTCTACTTCCCGATAGAGTTGTTCAGGCTCTGAACTTGAACTTGGAAGCCATGGAAGCTGAGTCTAAGCTTCAATCTCGTTGCAATGGAGGACCTCTTGCTTCTGACTACGGTAACTTTCGCACTACAGTATTTTGTATTTACTATCTCCCGTTTTTCTTATTTGTAAGTTCAAGTTTCTTAATTCAGACGCCGAGATGATGTACCGGAGTAGCGTTATGATGGCCCAACAGAGGCGAAACACCCACCGTCAACAACCGGCATCAAAGGCGGAATTCCGGCTACCTCAAGAATGGACCTATTGAAGAATCCAAATAGTAGTTTTAGCAAAAAAAATAGTATAATATAGTATAGAAGATGATTTTAAGAATGGGATTTGTTTTGTTTTTTAGTGTTTGAACGAATGAATCAAAAAGGAGGAGGGATGATGAATAAAGAAAGTGTTGGTGGGTGGGGTGATAGGAGAAGCAAAAATGCTCCGTTTTGGGTTAGAAAGGAGGGTTTTGTTTATTTTAAGAATAAGGTGATCAAGGTTTAGATTTAGTAGAAGGTGAAAGAAAGTCAAGCACAATGTACAAGTTTTTAATCCATGAGGTGTGGTGGGTTGGGTCGGGTCGGGTCGTGTTCTGGTTAATGGCTTTGGATGCTAGCCATCAACTTGGTGATATTTTATTTTGTTTTTTGGACACGAAAGTTTGTAGGAATGACAATTCCAACCCAGTATTTGGTAAAAAACTGGGCAAGTTATAATAAAAGTAACTATTAATTTTTATAGTTTTTGTTTTTTTAAACGTTGTGTAATGGTTTGTTCAATGGATGTTGATTATTATGTAATTAATTGAATTATAAATGAGTCGATACGACTATGGTTGATGTATCTATAAATTTTATCATTGGTATATTATTAAATGAAGTGGATACAAAGACAATAAATTCAACGACGTTGTCATTCGAATATTGCGGCAGAAAAAAACCAGTAAAAATTATTGAATGTAAAATAAATTAAACTATTAAAATTTAATGTGACATTTTTAGAATAGTAGAAAATATCAAAATACAATGTCACCTTGATACTTAACAAGTAATGCACCAAATTTGAGATTGAGATTTGAGATTTGAGAGAGGGAAACTTTGTTTTGTGGAAAACTGAAAAGTGGTGGTTTTTGTCGGGTATATAAGAATTTGAAAGAGTGAAAAGAACTCTAAACCGGTGCGTTTTGAATTGTAGCAAACTTCTTCTCCTGTTTGTTCAACAACCGAATCTACTTACCTTACGTTTTTCTTAATTATTTGTATGACGATAATTATCATTAGTCTAAAGTTTTTTTTTTTAATGTTAATTACTTATCGATTTTAATTGGTTGTTGAGAATAATTTGTTGTATATAATCAGTAACCATGTGTCTTCTATTAAGTTTTTGGGTTGGCCTTTTGGATTGATTTATATCCAAACAAACTTTTTCTTTTCTATTCCAGTTTTTTTCACTTAAAACCTTAAATGTAAAAGTTTTTAAAAATTTGTTGTATATGTAAAGACTATAATCGGTAGAATAACTAAAAAAATAGCTGGTAGGTATTAAAATATAACGTTTAAAAAAACTAACCGGTAATTAACTGAAATATATAAAGAAACATCAAAAAGTAAGCTAGTGAATAAATGTAAAATGATATCAAATAATATGTAAATGAATAATTCAATAATATATAAATATAAAAGTAACAGGTATGTTAGCTGAGAAATAAAAGAAGAATTCGATATTATACGAACATACGTCTAATACAACTTTGATAAGATGAATTAAAACACCCCTCACATGACTTTAGTTTATAAATCAAAGGTTGTCATCTTTAAAACTTGTTAATGCAAAAATAAAGTCCCAAAAAATCAAATGTTTGAAAAATAAGCATATAGAGGTTGTATTAATCACCAATGCTAATGCGAACAAAATATTACATCCATAATATTCTCAAAATCTAAGCTTTTATAATCCAAGTCTTCTCAAAATCCTTAATCTCACTTTAAGGTTATAATACACTGTTTTTCTTTACATGAAAAAAAGACATATGCATATGAGCATATCCAATAGCTAATATATGTTATAATAACTCAAAAAAGTTATCATCTTATATTTCACTAACTTAATCCTTTATTAAAACAATCTATCCAATTGTCTATCTCATAAAGATATACTTTTTATTATAAATTTAACTAATTTGTTGTCATCAATATAAAATATTCTGTAACACCCTCTTATTTAACTTATCATTTTTAAACATACACAATATTTAAAATACAAAATACTTTAGTAAAAATATTACTAAACATTAATATTTATATAGAACAAACAAATTACGTCAAAGAAATAACAAGTTTATGATCCTACGACCAACGTATCCAATTAATCCCCCACCCCAACTCTAATTCTTATTGTTAACTCATAAGTATAACTGGGTAACACTGCCTTTTAATATTGATACCTACCAAACAACAAAGAATTCTTAAACAACCAAACATACCAACACATAGCATAAAAATCACTTCATGATGATCTTTCTATGCGTTCTATAATATGAGAGCAAGTAACCAGCATAACCGATCATTATAAGACCTAGGAATATGTACACTCAAACCCTACCATTAAGTTACATGATATAAGAGATCAACTATGTGGGAGCAACTAAAAAGCAATGTGTAATGTCCCAAAAATTACGACCAAAAATTTCGATTTTTATATTATTAAAACCATTATCCAAAACAATATCATAAAACCATAGTGAAATCATAGTATGTTAATAAACATCCAAATACATCAGAGTCATGTGAAATGCGGAAAAATGTGGTATGTGCAATGCAGTCATCCTGAGCTCTTCCCCTTCGAACCAGAAGTACCTGAAACATAAACTAAAAACCGTAAACACAAAGCTTAGTGAGTTCCCTAAAATACCACATACCATACATATCAAACATATAATGGGCCCCGCCCGACACCGAGTCCTGTTCGGAACAGATATGTCAGTCATCAGGCCCCACCTGGCATTGGGCCCCGCCTGGTATACATACAAACACATAAACACATGCAAGAATCACAAAGATAAATAGCATACAATATAATCATCAGGCTCCGCCCGGTAAACATATCAGAAAACATACATACAGAGTCACGCATACAACTAGCATCTTAATCATAATAAACCATGGGTTGGCGTTGTTGCCTTCGACCCGCTAAACACAGTGAGGAAACTCACCTCAAGCTGTTGAATCTCTCAAATAAAATCTTGGTCTGCTGATCCGAAAAATCCCCACGCTAACACCATCAAATAATATCCAATTAATAATTGGATCTCGATCCATAATCAAGAATCTAAATTACTTGTCCAACATCCAGGGTAAAAGACCATTTTACCCTTTTCTTACTTGGCCCAAAACCAAGGCCAAACCAATTTGCTCAAAAGGCCTAAATTCCAAAATGGCATCCCGAGGCCCAATATGGCCCAACTTCCTAATTGGGCCCAAAAACCATCATGAACCTAATTCCAAGAAAGCCCATAGTCTAGCAATGGCCCAAAGTCAGAAGTCCAATGGCCTAACCAAACCCTAAAAGTCCAAAATATGGCCCAAACTCGTGAAAGTCAACCGAATTCAAACTGCTGAGTACGCTAGGCGTACTCAGACTTACGCTCAGTGTACTCCTTCCGGGGCCAGTACGCACAACGCACGAGCTGGGTACGCCCCGCGTACTCCGCATACAACCATTCTAACCCATTAAGCACTTAATTGGTTAAGCCATCAAACCAAACTCTCAGATCAGATCCTAAATGGTGACTTAACACGTAAAGTTGGCAACTTTACTCTCATGCATGACTTAATGGGACCCAAAACTAAAAAAGAACCACATTAAGAATCCTAACACATGCATGGACCAATACAACTCATACATGTTGCATTTTTATGGACAAGGGACCTCAAAGGTGCTAAGATCTAATATCCATGGCTTCTGTAGTAGACCATAATCTCAAATATGGATTAAAGGACCCAAAAATGCACAAATAACACCCTAAGTTGGATCTAGCATAAGGAACCATCAAAGTGAGAGCTTTTTACCTCAAATGGTTTGCTAAGATGAAGATGACTCTGGATCTACAAGCTCAAGCCACTCCCAAGCAACCTACAAGTGTTCTTCTATTTCTACTTCACCAAAAACACCACCAAAACTCACTTCCAAGCTTAAATCTCACAAATGACAATTAGGGTTTCGATCTTAGGGTATAGAGAGATGGAGGTTGTTCATTATGAGGTCCATAGAGCACAAAACCTAAAAATTAGGGTTTGCCCCTGCATTGCGTACGCCATGTGTACTCCCACGTACGTGGGTGCATCCGCGATCCATCAATGAGCTAGTACCCTAAGCGTACTCATAGAGTACGCCCCGCATACTAGCTAGGGGACTAAAATGAGATAAAATTTTACATTAAGGGTTAAAAAGAAACATACCAATAATCTCGAATGTTACACAATGACGACCCGTTTCCACCCCCACCCCCCGCGCGCACACACTAGGCAAAGAATAGACTGAACATCCAAGCCTCAACCATCTACGTTAGTCCTAGTAGGAAGCTTATCCGAATCTCACCGCCAAAATAAAGCTTTCTTTTTATAGGCACCATTCAGATCCACAATACGTTGTGGATAACAAGGACACGAGATCAACCGTTGATGACTACCTTCCCACCATAGAGCCCTACGATGCGAATTCGTCCAACTTAAACATATTTAACCCAACATAACCATAAAATAACAAAATATTCGTATTATTTGTCACTCCTACTACAACAAACTAAAAAAAATACATATACATTTTATTCCTTTTTATTTAATTCGTTTAGTGAAACGGTTCCATCATAAGTTAAAGTAATCAAAAGAGACAAAATTCATAAAATTATAATGATGTGATGACTTCTAAAACTCAATGTTACGTTGTCAATAAATAAACATATAAGATTCATTCTCTAGAATATACAGATTAGATAGACGATATCTTGTGTTGCTAACACAAAAGAATAAGTTAAGATATTTTATTATTATAAAACAATGGTTTCTTAGTAATGAAATACTCAAATACCATATATAATACGATATTTAATCCATTCAAATCTAACTCTATAAATTTTGTTCAATTCGTAATCGAACAAAAATCGATGCTCCCAAGTTTGATTAGACTTTGTTGTACAACATTTCATAGTTTGACTGAGTTTAAATAAAATAACACCAGTTGGGTTCACTTCATGGTTTGAATATAAAGTACAAACCAAGCATTTTTCGATTAAATAAAAATGTGTCTTAATTTGTTTTGGAAGTAGAAGTAAGAAGATGCCTTCTGCCCTTATGCCTTGACGACTTTTTCCTTCTTTTTCTTGGTTTCAGGCTGGACCGCTTGGTTTCGTACTTCTGGTTGTCGTTATTACCTAAACCGGACAACCATATAATATAACACATACAAAACCGTCTTTCTATGTAGTTTATATATATAGCCACTTACCTTACTTATATATATATATATATATATATATATATATATATATATATATATATATATATA